CAGACCTGGGAAACACTGCCTTTGTTTGGGAGGGAATACAGGGATCAGACATTAAAAACCATCAGAGTGTCTGTCTGGGAATGAGTGAACTCTGGGAAGAGGTTGTCGGGTTCCCTCTTCCCTTCCTGCTGGGCCTGGATCCCTCGGCTCTCCTGGCTTCCTGTGCCAGTGGCTGGCAGCACGGCCCTCCATCTTGCTGCTGCTCCCTCCCTCCTGGTTTCCTGATGGAGCAGCTTTCGCAGCTGCTAATGAGCGAGTGATTAATTCCTGTCACTGCCGAAGACTGATGGGCTGCTGTCTGCCCAGGGATCTGCGCATCCCGGGAAGTGATTTATGCCACCAGAGCCGAGAGTTTGGGTTTTTGAGGGACTCTGGAATGGTGACTTTTTTTTCCCCTTTCATTCTCAAACTGCTCCTTAGTTGGACCATTGCAATGAGGGTAGTCAGGCACAGCCGGCCTTTTAGCTGAGTGAGCTGTATCTCAGGAGGTTTTGCCCACTGGTTTTCCCAAACGAGGATTTTGCATTGACTGAGATGTTGGGAATGTTGTGTGTGCAACTACAGTGTATCTTCTGCAGTGTTTTCCTCAGTAAGTACAATGTAAAATTGACCGGCTATAAAATTAACAAATGACGTTTATCCTCTGCAATATTCAATTGATAACAAAATGTATTTCACACATTTTTCCGAACTCTGTTTCATGGAGAGAAATATCATGCCAGTAATCATTGTTATTTAATACATACATGAATTAGTAGATAAGCTCATTGAAAATAGAAAACCTTCAAACTAAGAAAGGTTTCTTCCTCTACAGAGCCACGCGTTTCCTGAAAGAACCTTTATTGTTTATGTTCCTTCCATAACTGTGTTTCAGGGCAAGTCACAGCTCTGGCAATTCCTGTGTGTGAGAGAAGGGTGACTAGCCATCTCTGTTAATGATTTTTAACACACATTAACAGACTCTTCACAGTGCGATGCATTGAAAATCCATTTCACTGTTGAGAGATAAAGTTAAAAATAACTAGGACAGAACAGTGGTAACTAGTAACAGTAAATTATAGCTTAAATATTATAGGTAGATGACTTGTTACAGTGAATAGATCATTTTGATAGGGTGAAGGAAATACAAGTCAGAAAGATTGATAGAAGTCATCTTAATTTTCAAATTTCTCTCAAGAACAACACCCACCACCAAAATCTAATATTACTCAGGGATGTTTTCTCAGCAGAAAATGGCATATTAAAGGCCCCCTCTTGAACCTACACTGTTTTCTTGCTCTCGAACAGAACAGTGGAGCTTCAGGAAGGAAAAAACCCAGCCAGAATGCTTTGAATGCTGCACTTTCAGCACGGTAACAGCTGCTTCATTTCCACTGAGAAGGGCAGTAACGGCATCTTTTTTCATTTTATTTTCAAGACATGCCCTTGGCGGTCAGTCTCCTGCACTTGGCTTGTTTCGTCAGAGTATGAAGCCCTGCTTGTCCTCTGCGTCTGTCTGGGTTTTATGAATCAGTGAGATACCTTGCATTGCATTATTACACTGAAGGCCCTACACCGTCCGTAATGGAAATCTTTTCAGCTGTGGAAGAAAAGAAATGCTGATAGTTATTTTTGTTTTGTTTTTTTACTGGCAGAAAGTTACTTTAAATATTCTCCCCGTGTTAACAGTAGAGGAGTTTGATTTATGGCTAATTCCTGCTTTTCTCATCTAACTGCCCACACTCTGTAAGTGAATGACCATTAAGTCCTGGAGAATTGTTCTTTATATTGCGCCTTGTTAATTTTTTACTCCTCTGAGAGCTGATATGAAAATGGGAAATTTATTCTGCTGCTAAACTAGATTGCACTCCCATGAGGCCATGCCAGCAAGTTTGTTGACTGTGCCACACAGCCTGTCTCTGCCTGTGCTGAGCTGATACCCTGTCCATGTCACAGGCCAACAATTTAGATTTATTAGAAACACACCGGCAAACACCAGCTCTTTGTTGACCGCTGGTGTTAGGTGTGCATACTATACTTCACTATTAATAGTCTTTATTATATAGGAGCATTTGTACCAGATTGGCATGGTAATTACGGCTGCTGTCTCGCGGCTCAAGAGTACTAGGTTCGATTGCAGTCTGGTATTTACAACTGCTGTGTTGAGTTTGCATGTTCTGATTTTCAATTCCTGTAGACACAGCTATGTTTAATGGACTATTCAGAATTCTGTCTTTCTCCATGCATTCCATGCAAATTGTTTGATTTAAGTCCCACCTTTGCATCCCGGATATGGTTTACAGATGACAGATGGATTGAAAGTTCATCACCTCCCAGTCTGGAAATGCCAGTTTTTAATCAGCTTGGTTTACCACCACAACTCCTGTACCAGCACCGGAGAAACAAGACTCTGCATGCAGTCCTCTGAGTTCCCTGCTAAGGCACCTCTCAGTTTCTACACTGTTAACGTCACGGTGCACGAGGGAGGTCAGCATACTGAATAGAGCTGTAATGCATTTCTAATACTTACATTGCAAGTTGAGGATATTCTTGCTTGGTCTTAATCTTCTGGTTATGGTTATAGACATTATAGCAGATGGTCACCCATTCAGTCCCACCCAACCCTGCCAATTCTTGACTTATTGTTCTGCATGGGGATTCCCAAACTCTTTGGTGCTCTTTGAGAAGGACAGACTAGTAAAGAGGAGAGACTGAGAGAGGAGTGAAAGAATTATAGTTAAATATTTTGTTCTTTAGAGGTTTGCAATTATTTCAACCTTCCATACAGTGAGAGACTTTTCCCTAATAAAGTATAGTAAGGAGTCTGATAGGGGTTAGATTTTTGTTTTGTTTTTGGTTAGAGAAAAGGATTATCGAGAAACCAAACTTTGTAGAGGAACTTGAAATTAACAAGCAGTTTATTAACCGGCCATTCAGTAGGGTTTAAAACAATTGCACAGACATGGATTGGAATGAATTTGCCGAAGACAGTGCTGTATTAACTCCTGTGGATGAATGCCAACAATTGAGAGTAACCCTAAAATAAAGAATAATGAACAATATGAGTAAGACAAAAGATGCAAGCATGTGCACACTTGCTGAGCACAGCACTTCCCAGCTACACTATGGAACGAGTGTAAGCTAAGCTGAGTTTCCTGTTAGACTGACTTGATATTCCCTGAAACCTCAGACCAGAGTGGTCTTAATCTTTTAGTACTACTTCTACACAACAATGTCCATGTATGCCAGCTCCTGCCCTTCTGCAGGCTGGTTTGCAAAAGCCTGGGTTTTGATTTTACTAGCCAACAGGCATTTGTATAGGTAGATAAAAGTAGGGGCTCCGTCAGCCATGTATGCGTTTTTCCTTCTCGGTTTCCAAATTACCATGTGTTTAATCTGCTAGTGCTTCTGGGAAAGAGCTCATCTCGTATTCTGCCGACTCGAGCAGGAGATTAGGTAGCAGCAGGTAAACAGCTGGCACTCAGATTACAGAAAATTAAAGTCAATTACGAACATACATAAACAGAGAAAGATGGACACAGAGTGTATGTGTACAGGCGCGAGTGGGGAATCATTAAAATCCCTCATCTCTAGGAGTTTGTGTCTGCATCTGTCTGCATTTTCCTTTTTTCCCCTTCTTTCTGTATATGTATGATAAATGAGGTGGCTCAGTGTTTGCTGTGTAGAACCTGATGGATGAGGGGTGCCTGATCGCTTGAATACAGCTTGAGTGATGGTCTTCTTTTTTACAAAGGGGGGACAGAAGTGAAGGAATTCATTTATTACATGTTCCCCCAGTAGAATGAGGGGTTTTGACCGAGCTGAAAATATGTAATATAAGCATTTTACTGAATACCATATTACCAGTTTGCAAAGCTTTACATCAGAAATTGGGAAGTTGGTTGTACTGTATAAGGGAAAAGGCATAATCTAAAAGAAATATAATATAATATACAGCATTGATGAACAGACATTAAATGTTACATTCATATCAATAGATACAAGCAAAGTCTAATTTAACAGTGGCATAACCCAGAAGAGAATGCACCAGGGTATTTGACAATCTTTGTGTCATCGTAGGGTCATATAGCTCAAAAGCAATCCAGTGTCACAGCCAACAACATGACCCATGGCAGGACACATGCTCCAGAAACCAGTCAGACCGAGCCACTGTTGTCGCTTGTAGAGGATATTAGTGGTTTTAATGAATCAGCACTGCCTTGATGATTGGCAGTCTGGTTGCTCTGTAATTGAGTGACAGTATTAGATGACTCTGAGTTTTATAGAATGGGATTGACAGCGATGGGAGGTGTCACTTAAAGCACATATGTTAATATTAGTTTAGCCATCAGTTTCTGATTTGGCATCATTACAGAAACAAGTCCAAGAAAAAGGCCCGTCCAAACAGCAGATGCAAGCCCACCTGAGAGCATATGAGCTGTCTTATACTGGTCCTTGTCAAAGTGTTTTAAGTAAACCCACACACCAGTACTTTGATGTGCAGGTTCAGTGCCATAGCCAACACATTAGTTGCTAATTTTAATCACAAATTGTACAGTATAAGGCATAGCTGGGCATTATTGGGACACACTCTGGCAATGTCTGGTTTTGGTTTCTGTGAAAACTTGACACGTTCTTACCTATTTCTACCCTCTGTGTTTCCTAATGTCTTTAACGACGTAGGCCTTAATGTAGCCTGACATCGACAGATAGCAAATAGACTCCCACTGCACAGTAGATTGAACTGTTTCAGTTTAAGGAGATGCAGGGTCATACACACAGTGTGCCAGTGAATCTGGAATATACTGTAGTCTATTAAATATCACATCTCTATCAGTGCAAATTTACTCAAACTACAGTAGCGGGTTTGGTATTTGATTTTGGCTTATAAAGCCAAAATAAAGCCCACATAACCCAGACATGGATCAGACTGCTTCGTAAAGCACTTGGGGTGGATCATCATCCGCTGCCGTTCTGTTCAAACCCTCTGTGATGGGTCTCCTGGGCTTGCTGTGTTGCAGGTGAGCGTGGTGCAGGATTCGGTGAACATCTCTGGCCAGAACACCATGAACATGGTCAAGGTGCCAGAGTGCCGGCTGGCGGACGAGCTGGGGGGCCTCTGGGAGAACTCGCGCTTCACGGACTGCTCCTTGTGTGTGGCTGGCCAGGAGTTCCAGGCGCACAAAGCCATCCTCGCAGGTAAGGCGCACAGCGGCCCCTAATCTGCTCCGAGATCCCTCTGTTACTCTTTCAGGAATGACCCTGTGAAGTAGGATGTGTTCAAGAGCAAATGTCCCTGAATCAGAAACTTTATATAGAGAATTAAAATCTAAAGGCCTGGTTTTAGGAGAGCAGCAGCTAACCATGTGGTGTTAAATTGTGGCCGTTTCCACGCAATTCAGCTTGGCTAGAGGGCAGCCCAGGCAGATGCTGTTTGACCTGTTGCTGTTGTAAGAACAGGCTGAAACCAGCCCAGCAAGGCCTTACAGCTCCCTAGCTGTGGCTTTCAAAGCAGATCTCCAATGAGAAGAATGCATTCCTGGATTTTACTGGGAAATCAATGAGGAAATTGGCGGCGTGTTCCAAAGGGTTGTGAGGCTGTGGCAAAGATCAGAATTTTACAGGTTGTTTATGAATCCCAAGAGTTTATTCCCCTCAAAAGATCAAATAGTTTTAACTTGTTAAATACAGCTGTCAAACAAAAAACTATATAAACTGTTTTATTATATAAATACATTATATTGATCTGAAAATTTTTAAAATTGCTCAAAACATTGGAGGATTTGTTACTGTGATACCGTATTTTACTTTTCCTTTAAACTATATCCTTATTTGTCACAAAAAAGGAGTAAATTAAAGTACACATTAGTCTAGAGCACAAACCTTTTTCACAATACTGTAATTAAAGATGGATAGGATTGCTACCAACAGAGTTTGAGGGTTTATTGAAGCAGGGACCCATCAATGACTGGATGGCTCTGGAAGGGAAGAGTCATTTTCCTTCCCAGTGCAATATTTTTAAGATTTCGGTAACTCCATTGGTTTTAGAGTAGCTGCAGTTAGTCACTAGCCTCTGACCTGAGTTCTTATGCTCTGTGTTGCAGAACAAAGTTTAACTAGTGAATGGATGTTTCGCCTGTCAACTCTCTCATAGTCCGGTTTCTTAAACCTCTTGTAAAAGGCCCACAATCTCCTAGATAGACAAAACTGGCTGTTCAAGATGCAAAATGCTCTTCTGTAAGAAGGATTATTAGGGTTAGGAGGTTACAGCTTATTAGTTTAGAAAAGGATGGTAGAGAAACAAATATTCACGGAGACTCCTCATGCCTTACATCTGAAAGTAACAGAGATACAAACAGCCTTGTTAAAGGTTTTATGATCCCAGGTGTGGGCAACGGTGAGAGAGAAACATGTGCCATGACCCTTACCAATCTATTCATAAAAATTGTTGCCCCAGAACACAAAATCTGGCAGAAGAGAAATATTTAAAATTGCGTGTAAATCCTTATGCTCAGTAGTAAGTTGTCATTGGGTGAATGTCATTGCAGATGAACTCCTCTCGCGCTGCAGTCTAGGGCTTCCAGTCTCAGTAGGCCAGGATGGATGTGTTTGTTGTTTTGCTCTTCTCTTTTTAAAGTCCCTGAAATCAGACTGAGCTGGGAATCACCCAATAAGCAGCACCCAAGGGGGTTCTTGAATAAGACAAGAAGAGTGGAATTTGTTTCAAAGGTTAAACAAGGGAGGGAGAGGGATGGCTTTATTAGCAGATGTGTCGCTCTTCGCCTCAAACTCCATCTGTTCTGCTGCTCTTGCTTTTGCAGAGTCACAGCTCCTTTTAGTTTTTTTGCTCCAAAGACTGCAGAAGCTCAGTACAGTACAGGTTCAGAAGTGAATCAGAACTCTTGCTGTGGATTTTCAACAGTCAGCACTGCATTGCTGGAGCAAATCGGTCTTCGTTGGACACGGTTTGGACACGTACAGAAGACAAGTCAGCCTGGCTCCTACATCAGTTATTGTATCCGTTGGACAATACCATTGTTTTTTACGTCATATCCCAGAGGGCCAGTCCTGGCCAAAACTGCATTTTGATCTAGTTCAGGTTTTTAATAGATATTCAGTTGAGCTCATGGTTGTGTTGTTTGATGTTGGACACTTTAAATATGTCCCTGCAGGGCTGGTATGATGCTAAAGTAATGGCTCCCTGTATCAAGCGGATTGTTCTCCGTCTGCAGTAAAAGACCTTTATTTTTTTTCCCCGTATTTCCCATTTAGCAAATGATTAGATGACCAGAACCACGGAGGAAGCTGACATTTGAATGAAATCCTGATCCTCAGTCCTTCAGGCCCTACGTTTCATAGCCCTGTCTTGAGTAATGAATTCCAGGAATGTCCTTTTATTTTCCACTCTAAATGTGATCAAATCTTTATTTACTCTATAATCCAATAATCATTTTGATTTTAGACCACATCGACTCGCAGGTCATAGCGATTCCCGTTAAACTGTGCCAGTAGTACCGTAAACTTGGCATTGTTCACAAATTCTTGTTTTATAATGTCATTCATGTGAAGTGGACTCTGTGTATAGTGGTTTACTGATCAAGGTCACTTGGGACTCATCTATTGGGTGCTCTGTGACATGAGTTTTAAAACCATGACATTTCCCAGCTTAAACTCTTCTCCTCTTGTTCGGCAGCACGGTCTCCAGTGTTCAGCGCGATGTTCGAGCATGAAATGGAGGAGAGTAAAAAAGTGAGTACCTCTTCTGTACTGCCTCTGAATTTCCCCTTTCCCAGCTTCCAAGGCTTTTACCTTTTTTTTAAATAACGTTTGGATCGCTGGAGAGCCACTTCTTCTCCTCAGTTGGTTTGATTTAAACATCATGGATTTGTGTTTTATTTGTAAGAAAAGGGAATTAAGAAAATAGGTACTGTATGTCTATTAATGGCACAGAAGAATCTATTGCCTGTCACACAATACATGAATGCTCAGTGCCTCACAAGACAGATTGCAGCAGCTACTTTTCTTCTTGAATGCACATTCATATTTATTTACTTGCATAGCTCAGTGGCTTGGTAATCTGTACTCTATATCAGGGCCTTTCCCACAGGTACAGTGGAGCAACTGCATGATCCACGTCCCTTCAAAGTCCAAATGGACTTCTGGGTGTGATATTTCTTGCTCATTTTGAGCACTAGGAGCCTTGTAACTAATCTGCAAACTGCACAGCGTTCGATTGTATGTGAGTTACTGCTGTAACGTGGAACTGTCATCATGGTTTAAACTGTGTTTCCGAGGCGGGGAGGAGTTTCTCTTCAGATAGGTGTTCTTTAAACTAAGCAATGAAAGAAGGCCTTGATCACTGTTCCTGTGGCTTCTTTTTATGAAGAGTGGAGGGTTGGGGGTTCAGGTCCTCTCTGCATGCAGTGTTGTAGTACTGTTTAGCAAAGCACTTCATCTGTTGTAGTACTCTTTAGCAAAGCACCTCAAAACGTCAGACCACCCAGATATATAACTGGGTCCATGTGTGTATCTCTGGGGGTATCCCTTCAATGGTCCAGCCTCATATCCAGGGGAGCATGTCAAAGGTGTCATATGCTTTCAGGCCTCTACTGTATACCTTACAGAAACCAGGATACACTCCAGCCACATGGCTTGACTTGGGTATGGACTGTGCTCACCTCATGGTTATGTGTGTTCTTTAAAAGTTGATGACTTTTTCTTGCTGTTGTAATAATAATTGCTTAAACTTATATAGCGCATTTCTGGACACTCCACTCAAAGTGCTTTACAGGTAATGGGGACACCCCTCCACCACCACCACCACCAATGTGCAGCCCCACCTGGATGATGCTGATAAACTCATGCTACCTGTTGTAGCCTGAGTTTATTGGATAAGTTCATACTTATGTGTATTTGTCTCTATATACCATTGTTGGCCTTTATCAGTCCACTGCTGCATAAAGCCCCTCTTAGACTTCACCTCTGGTACTTTGCAGGCTTATCTCTCCTGCAAGCGTCTCAATTGCATCCTAAATTGTTCTTTTTTGTCTGGTGTTTTCCACTGGCGATCTGGTACGGTACTTTCTTGGGCCATCAACGGTCCGCTGTTCTTGTGTCATGTCCAGCAAGATAGTAACTTTTCAGGTATAAAAAATGTATTCGTTTTGCAACTAGGTATCTGTTGTTATAGCTTTTATGTTATTAGGACTGCTGCCTGGCTTGTGGGAATATTGACCCTGGTGTGAGTGTGTGTGCCTGCCCTGTGAGGGACTGGCGTCCCATCTGGGGTGTAGGCCTCCTTGTGCCTGCTGCTTGCAGAGATGGACTGCAGCTCCCCCAAGACCCTGGACTAGAAAAAGCGCTTAGAAGATGGATGGAAGGATAGAACTGCTGACTATGTCTATGTTTTTGATTACTTTGTTCTTTATTTAAGAGTGTGTGGTTCTTGACATGAGCAGGTTTATTCCCTGCTGAAAATAGAAGAAAAGAAACAATGATTGTGGCTGTGGAGCCTTCTTTGGGTGTCTTCTAAAGTTGAAAATGTCTAAGAACCCACTGAAATTATTGGTTTCACCACAGTATATTCTATTTGATTTTTTGCAGGCTCAGAGCTTTGTTCAAAAGTACTTTTGAAGGGTGCTTTTTTTCTAAGGCACAATATTAAATAAAGTTTAATTGAATATGGTTCTTCCTGCCAGTGAAAACCAGTATAAGTGCAGCTTCATTTTTGTGGTATAGAAAGTATAAAACTTTCTTTTGTCAAAAATGTCTGCGGAAATGTAGTCTGTATGTATTTGTTCCTCTAAAATTTAAGCCCTACAAGTTGAGTGCCATGTTCTCCTTAATTAGTTCTTAAACGAGCATGACCGTACAAGAGCCGAGCCGAAGCAGGCCGTAGGAAGCTGTCCTCTTCCTGTGCGCACTGGGGGAGCAGGTTACCGTGGTCACATCTGTGAGTGCCAGCAAGATGTATACGGATTTAATTACAGGCCGGCGGAGAAAAGCAGGACTGACACTTTAAAGGCTGGCTGGCACTGTGAAGAGCAGGAGGCCAGGGTAAGGGAGAGTGTGGTAAACAGGCACAAAGGAATTCCATTTCAGCGCCAAATTGAGCATGATTGCAGGTCGCGACAGCGTCAATCCCCAGCCCAGTTTGTCTGCTGCATTTGATGTGCTTGGAGGTCATTACAAGAATTGCTGCTTCCACTAGATCTTGTTCTAAAATCTTGTTTTGTTTTCTCCACAGGACTTTTTTTGTGTCTAATCCTTTACAAATATTTGTTTCAATCCAAGTTCCCTGTCTGTAGGTTAAGTGTTTTGTTGGGTAAAACAGTATGGTTTAACAGGATGGCGGATATGAGGGCAATCCTGCTGTGTAAAACTTTTTTGTCTTATTATTATCGCTTATATTTAAAAGTTTACAATAAGATCTACAGATCTGCCCTTCCCACCTCTCCATGCAGCAAGACTGCAAAAACAAATATCAAAATCGTATTTTTTTTCTCTCTCCAAAGGCTGTTAAAGCATTAGCTACTTCAATTGGCTTAAATTGTCAAGCACTGAGTTTAGAAAGCTTTGTATAGAATTCAATGCATTTTAACTTTACAAGCCTTGGTGATGGTAAATGGGATAAAGTTAGGTTTATTCTAAAATCCATCCATCCATCCATTTTCTAATCGCTTCTTCCAATTTGGGGTCTCGGGAGAGCTGGCGCCTATCCCAGCAAGCACAAGGCAGGGTAACCCTGTATGGGACCCCAGTCTATCACACGGCACACAGACACAGACTTAAACACACTCACACCAGGGCCAGTTTTCCAAGAAGCTACTTAACCTACTAATGTGTCTTTGGACTGTGTGAGGAATCTGGAGCACCTGGAGGAAACCCAAACAAACACAGGGAGAAGATACAAACACAGCACCCCAGGGCCCCAGTACTGCGAGGCAGCAATGCCGACCACTGCGCCTCACATGGTGCAGCATTCAACTAAAAAAACCTACTGATATATTAGCGAAATTAAGCTGCCATTTCAGCATCGCAGAGGTACCTTATGACTTGTTGTGCAGACATGGTCTTGTCTAGTGCTAGTAGATGAAGGACCTGGTTACTGCTGGTCATATCTGTAACATTCCTAGAGCGCATTTCCACTCCGTCTGTTAATTCAGCTGTGTCACTGGGAGTGCAAAGCAGCCAAACCCTGTGCCTTTATGTACCTGCAGATGGGTTAATTACACACATCGCCTGCTCCAGTGGTCAAACCGAACAGGTTTCAGTTTCTGATCACTTTTAGTATATTGTGTAAATGATGCTTGTGTTATTGGAGAGGATTTGCTAAACAGTCTAAAGTCTAAAACAGGTTTTTGTGTACTTGTAATTATAAAGGTAACTAATTGAGGACAAAGGTTTTGAATCCTCCTAATGCGTGATCGTTGTTAAAATCCACAGCCTTATTTGCATTGAAACCAGCTTACAGAGCTAGACTGAAGAGTGTTTCCAGTATTGATCTGTCTCGTCAGCCCAGTCCTTATCAACACTCTCGCAAGCACACGCTGTGGATAAGGAGTTTCTATTACACTGTTTTCCATTTGCACAAATGCTCAGTGCTTTGCAAATGAAAGGCGTTTTAATTGAAGTTAAAACTGCATCTACTTCACAATAAGATAAATTAAATGTATATATACAAAAAAAGCAGATAAACAGCAGTGAGCAATGAAACAAATCAAACAAACTAGGTTCGTTATCATCCTTTGTGTGAACTGTATCTTAGTAAAGAGGTGCCTTTTTAAAATTACCTTGAGAAAGAAAAACTTTAACGTTAACAATGTGCATTAATTATATGTATTAAAGTACTCATTTTCCTTTTCTGGCCCCATTTAAAAGGCTCTTTTTCAAGCTTTTTAAAAAGCATGGTGTTGCTGGGTGACATATCTTATATTCACAATTGTTTTACAAACTCCTAATAAAGCTTCTTCTAAAAAAGGCACTTGGTATTATTTGGCAGCCCTGCATTATCCAGCAGCATGATAAAGTACGTCCCAGTGCTGTAGGCTCTGTTTGTGTAAATTAGTTTGTTCAGCTTCATTTTAGGAAAAGTCATTATTTTTGAGCTACGGTGGTTTTATTTTGCTGCTGCGTTGGCCTGGTAAGATACAAATTGGAGTTTTGTATATTTGATCACTGCGATGCAGTGCCATGACTGTCTCTCCTCTCCTTGTGCTACACCAGAACATTAGTGTTGTAATTGTTACTTCGAGAAATCTATAAAGTGATATCACATTTTTTCCATGGTATTTCTGTGGATATGTCATGCATTCACTTTGCCACAGTTTCCCACTGTTTAAATGTTACATTCCTCTGTGTATTTTTAAAATGGTTCTTCACTTATTTGTGACTGGTTTCTCGCCCAGTTTGGAATCGCCAGTGGTTTTAAAATTCTGTTCTTTGGCAAAGACATGTGCTCCCATTCTGAACGACAGATGCCTGAAATCCAGACTCACTCTCCTATGCACCCAGCCTGCACAGGTATTGCTCATTTGCCACGCTGTGCGACTGACATGTGCCTGACAGGAGAGGAAGCATTGTAAGGAGGAGTGGTGTTTCTCTCGCAAGGAGACTTTAGAAAGCTGATGCAGACCAGTTGAAAGAGGAGTGTAATTGCAGATGATCTGCCACTAGAGGTCGCTGTACAGCTTCTAAACTTATTGTAAATAGCTACAGTGGGGATGAGGGATTCATTAGTGAATGATTATGTGTTTGGGCAGCACAGTGGTAGCATTGCTGTCTTGCAGAACTGGAGCCATAGGTTCATTTCTGGACCATTGATGCTATGTATGTTCTCCCTGTGTTTGTGGGTTACTTCTGGGTGCTCCGGTTTCCTCTCACAGTCTAGATACATACTGGTAGCTTAATTAGCTTCTGGGAAAATTGATCTTGGTGTGTGTGTGTCTGTGTGTGTCGTGCGATGAACTAGTGTCCTGTCCAAGGTGTATCCTGCCTTGTGATGGACTGGTGTCCTGTCCAAGGTGTATCCTGCCTTGTGCCTGTTGCTTGCCAGGATAGGCTCTGGTTTCCCTGTGACCCCGAATTGGATGAAGTGGTTAGAAAATGAATGGGTGGAGTTGTTGTTTTTATTTTGTCCTAAAAAGGTATGGGAATAACGCCATCTGACTGTATTCTTCATTGTCATTCTGCGTTTTTGTGCATGCAAACCTTAGGACATCAGTAGTAACGTAAACTTCTGTTACAACAAGTTACAAGAAGGAGGAGTCCATTTGGCAAATCTTGTCTGGTGGTTAGTTATCAGATATCGCCTTCAACAATATGGCTAGGTAGTTAGTCCCAGACTCCCACAGCCCTTTGAGTCCCACAGTGATCTCACTAAAGCTTGCAGGTATCCTGTGGGTTGGAAAGGGTGCTTTATAAATAAAGTTATTATATTTCTGGACATGGATTATTGCAATTTGCAAAAATAAATTCTATATACACACAACTGGGCAGTTGAGAGAATAGTTGATAATTGCATTTCAGGGTTACTTCATCTCTTTTGTTTGATGTTGTGTTCAAAGTTTTTTTTCACTTAAGTGTGAAATGCGCTTCTCTTTTTTTGACTCCAGCTAATTTTCCATAGCTACACTGAATAAAAAGATTTTTTTTATTATTTCGTTTTACATTATCACATTATATTCTGCTGACTTTATACATCTATAGTTACTTTTTGAAAATGGGTAACACATTTTGCTAAGCTTAGAAAATCCCTCTGTAATTATGTTCTGTGTGGATCTTTGTTGATTTAGTGCGGATTACAGATGTCTGAATGTGACAGACTAGGGACATATAAGGAAACTGGTGTCACAAGCTCAGTAGTAGTATATGCAAGTCACTTTGGACAAGAGTGTCGACCACTCAGTCTCGACTGGTGGTGGTTGCTGCTGAGAGTGCAGGTTGTGCCCAGATCCCCAGATCAGATCTTCACTGTGCCTCTAGCTGAATAACTGTAGGTGTCAATGCATAGTAGGACAGGGTGCCCAGTATCAGCCTTAGTTTACTTTGCTTTGCACAAAGCAGTGGCTCCGTTGACATACTGGGTGCCTGCAGGCTTGCAGTGGCATCAGTGAGAGAAGCCTAGCTCCTCCGTTACAGAACTGTGGAGGTCACAGCGTGTCAGAAGATGAACTTTTCTGACAGGAGGGTGTGTCAGATGATCACGCCTGCAGGTCTTCATTCTCCCCGTGCAGTGCAGGTTTATAAGGTATATAATGGAAAAAGTGGCAGCCTTTTACAAAAGAGAACTGACATTTTAGCCCATAAGAGCTCAGCATTTTCCTATACATTAAGCATCAGGCTATGTTTTGTAGGGCACTGGCATCTCTGCCTCGACAGTGCAGCTTGTTAATCAATACTATGCTCTAGGTCTCCCAGGCTGTTTGCTCCCATTCTGCTTCAAAACCTTAATTTACAGGTCTTTTGCGTCTAGAATTCTAAAGTAATATGGCAAGTCACAGTCTGTCAGTTTTTTTTCAATACCAGTGGCTCAATGTCATATTTTTTTCCACCTAAACAGCATCTGCATTTATATAAATTTATATTGTTGTGTATTGCACATAGACCTTTCACTTGCTTGTGTTGGTTTAAAGGAAATCAGGGCTGCTTGATTGTACACTGTAGAAAGCAGTGTGGATATTAATATAAATTGAGGGGGTTCTCCCGTGACTGCTTTGGAAAATCATGATCAATGGCGACAAAGGTCCACAAAGTAAACATACAAGTTAAAAAGCATGCACATAATATAAGGCTGTAATGCTGACTCTGATAGATATTTATCGGAGAGCCCTGTTAGTGTGAAGCTCAGGAGACTATGAAGCCTCCTGAATAATGTTGTTTTGATGAGGACAATCTGAGTTATTTTAAAGAGAAAACACTCTGATCGTTTGCATGTATGATGTGGAACAGTCCAAAAATATGAAAGATGACTCTTCATCTTTCAGCCTCACAGGTTGTAGTTTAGAGCTGTCCATTACGTCCCCGTTCGAGATTTGTGATGAAAACAGACCTCTCTTTCACTTTGACACAAGACGAATCAATAACCGCGCTCATTGGTCCCCCTGTGTGGAAGTACACTAATGACACTAATGAGTAGGTAAAACTAACAGGTCTCTGTGGCTCTTTTTCTCTCGCGACAGAACCGGGTGGAAATCAACGACGTGGAGCCTGAGGTGTTTAAAGAGATGATGTGCTTCATTTACACAGGGAAGGCCCCCAACCTGGACAAGATGGCCGACGACCTTCTGGCCGCTGCAGACAAGGTGAGACGCCCCCCTCTCTCACACAGAGCTCTCGCTGGAGCTCTTGCACTTTCTAGCCCCCGGCCAGCCTGAGAGGCGCCAGCTGATTCCAGCCCCGGCTGGGCGAGGAATGGTTGGATTGGATGGCGGGAAGAAGTGAGTGTGACAAACGTTGGTGCCTAATTGCTGCAGCTTGAAGAGCGAAAAGCTGGCTACTGATAAACAAAAAAACGTGTGAAATGTCTCCCACATGAGACACATACATTTCTTGCACACATCCGTTTCAGCTTTATCTCCTCCAGTGTAAATAGCATGCCTCTAAATGCAGGATTCTTTCACTTGTTTTTAATTCTGCATATGTTATTTTCCAGCGAGCGATTGGCACGCCCTCATATGAATAACTAAAAATAGCAAAGCCCCTGTTTCTCCACTTTGTTTTTACGTTTTTTGCTTTAATTGCTCATTGCTTTAATGTGATTATTTTATTGTGTAGCTCTCTTAAATTGTTGCACCGATAAACATCTTTTCCACAATGTTACTGTTAGTATTCTTTTTTTTTTCTTCCGATTTAGTAATAAATGTAAAAGGAAACAGCATGTTTTTTTCCCAGACTGAAGCCAGGTTAATCCAACATGAATTACACAGTCAGCACAGACTGGAATCAGAGCTTCAGAAATCCCAGAAATATTCTCCCACACCTCTTTAATCGATTGTGCTGTTTCTGAAGCCTGTTGTTGATTCAGAGGTCATGCGTGTGGATCCATCAGATACGTTCCTGCTGCACTTTGCTTGTGATTAGCACGAGCACGTCTTTCTCACTCCAGGCTCCCTTCTGCTGATGGTACTCTCCACCTCTTCAGTGTCTTAATTAGAAAGCTTCATCCCGGAAGGGGTAGCTCAGCCAGAAAAGGCTTCTACCTGGAGTGCAGGGTGGCTCTGAAGTCCTGAGATGGCTGGTTCAGACTTGAGTTGAGTCAGTAGCTGTGTCTCCGGGTCCCTAAGCTCTTGGCTCAAGACTGCAGGAACTTCGTACTTCAGAAGCCTGCAAAAACCTATGAAAAAGTGACTTTCTGGACAGTTGTCTGCTTGCAGTGCTTTCAGAGTGAGCCGCGTCAGCCCTCTGGCCTGTGCTGAATGTGGCTACTGCTGCCTTGGCTTGGCAGAGTGAAGAGGGAATAAGTGATGCTGGTATGCTTTTCTCTGGATGTGTGCAGGCGGTCTTCAGCTATGGGAGCTCCAGCCATAAGGCACATTGCAGTCAAACAGAAACCAAACAAACAGTATTTCTAAGGAACAAGTAATAGGTTTATTCCATGCTGAAAAAAAGAAGAAAGAGAACACAACGTTTCGGCTGTGGAGCCTTCTTCAGGTGTGCACCAGTAAATGATCCAGTAGAATGGGCTTCCCAAACATGGGTTTTACATTTACTCTGTGTGTATAGTTCTTCCTGTCCTTGATGCT